ACTGCTACTATTACTACCACTACTACTACTACTACTACTACTACCACTACTACTACTGCTACTACTGCTACTATTACTACTACCACTACTACTACTACTGCTACTACTGCTACTATTACTACCACTACTACTACTACTACTGCTACTACTACCACTACTACTACTACTGCTACTACTACTACTACTACTGCTGCTGCTACTACTACTACTACTGCTACTACTACTACTACTGCTACTACTACTACTAAGACAAAATGCAGCAATTTACATACCGCATGACGCACAAGTCTCAACTTTGTAGACTGAGTGCACGTAACAAACGTCCATGTGCACATGAACGCGCTCTACACCCCACCCCCTTCTTGGCAAATGCCTGTCCCATGACCAGACTGTCAACTATCGTCAAGTGGACGAGCGCATCGTTTCACTAGAGATCAATGAGGAGCGGCTTTTTGCGAAACGCCCTCCACACACCCAGATGTCGGCGCCTAGCGAAACGCTGACATTCGCTTAACTCGTCCAAATGCAAGGGGACAATGGCGAACAGGCGATAGCAACGAAATTAACCCATGACAAGTGGACAGAATTGATAAATTGCGTATATATTAAACGTGGTCATGACTGTGGTTAGGTCGCCTAAACGTTTAAATCCTGGATACACGGAGAGATTATTCACACGCCATTTAGTCCGGAGCGTGGTATAAACAGGCACCGTTGTCGAATTATCCAGAAAAGGGCAGAACACGCTATGCAACTGACAACGTAAGCGCTTATGCTACGGGGCAGATGTTGACAGGACAGGCCGGCGGAATGCCTAAGAATGCAACACTCACGAGAATTCTGCATGGAGTGCGAAAGGAATAACATTCTTGGCCATACCGCGCTCCTCGACCGGCAAGGGGAGTTTTGCCTGCGGTCTCTATCGAGTTACCATCAAGACCGATGAAGACATGCTTTGTCTGAAAGAAGTGGCTAGGAATCCCCTCTCTTTAAAAAAAAAACTGGCAATCCGCGCCATCTTGTTTACATTCGAAGGCAGAATAATCGGAAAGTCACGCTTTGGAGAAAAACAACTGGAATATTTCTTCGGAGAAGAATTCTTGGGAGGAGGCTGGCGTAAAAATCTCGAGCTTAGCTTGACAACAAGTGATGTCCGCATCAGACACTCCTGGAGTACGTACAGTAGGTGGGCTAACGCATGAAACCGAAATTCCGAAATGCGTTTTCGTTCCGAAAAGATTAACTAAGTAGGGTCGTAAAACAGATTATCATACATCATAATTCTATAATAATTCCGTTACGTCTTGATGCCGGCTCTCGGATGAACTTCTTTCCGGCTGCATGTAAAGACTATACTCTGTAAAAAGTTACTACTTAAGTAGCATGCATTTTTCTCAATGGTTTTCGATGTCCTTAAAAATTCAATTATATTTCATGAAAAGCATGCATAAAAACATTCATTCTTTGGCTCATTCGGTGGAAAATTACGTCTTCTATCAATTTTATACTCGAAGGAAGGGTATAATTCGGTTTCAGAAAAGTTTCTAATTGTGAGATTTCTTAATAGCGTGAAACGACCGTTCATAAAACATCATGTCCCTTCATTTACCAATGTGGCTTGTAAAGTTGAGCATATGACTCGAATCCAACGCTGAATTTTACGAACCCCATATGGTCACCTCTTAATACCGTAGAGAGATGTGCGGTTTTCCGTATGGGGAAGATATACGACTTGTGGTTTGGAAACCCTGAATGCATCTGAAACGGCAGGTCAGGTTCAAAATTATTTGGGAATTGGAAAATTTCTCGAAAACCGAATTATACTCTGCCTTCGAATACAAAAATTGAAAGACGTAATTTTCTACTGAATCAGCAAAAGAATGAATATTCTTATGCATTTTTTCGCTGAAATATAATTGAATCTTTAAGGGCATCGAAAAGCAACGAAAAAACGCATGCTACTTAAGTAGTCATTTTTTAAAGTGTCTTTTTTACATGCAGCTGGAAAGAATTTCATCCGCAA